TGGAGGTGCTAGTGGCGATAAAGATTTTGGCTTTGTACACCCCCACCAAACACCTACCCGACAGACCGGGAGACATGCCGGGGATGGCTCGGAAAACGTTGGGCTGGACTCCGCTGGTTCACAACGGTGGGAAGGGGGGGACAGTGCGTCTACCTCTGGGTGGGAAAGTGTGTGGGATGCGGAGCGAGAAAAACGTGGGCTGACCGGAGACGCTGGCTCTCGTTTTCCCGGGTCATTGGTGCGTCAGGACATGCCGTCAGGCCTAGCGGAGACCGTGGAAAGACTGTGCGCCGCGGCGTTCTTGAGAGGGCATGTCCCTCACGGAATAATGCCGATTGGCACGACCCCAGAAGAAGCTTATCGAAGGTGAAATTTAGAACCCGTGCAATGGTAATACGTTACCTCGAAGTGATTTTCTTTCGGCGGGGAACGGGGAACGGGAAAAGACGGCGGGCATGATGTCAGATGACATCGTGTGCAACCTTGTGGGCAAGTCCGAGTGTCGTGAAAAACTTCCCGAACCCTTATCTCTTACATTTGAAGCGGCCCTCCCCTCCTGGTAGCACCGCATGCCCTTGTACAAATATAAATTATTCCACAATCAATATTTATTACCCAGGTACCTCGACTTGCCTCCATCTTTGGCAAAAATCCGCCACGAGCAACTCTGCACGGAGGCGTCGCGACCGGTCGCCTCGGCACTTCGTGCGCGGGGCTACACCGTGCTCGAGCAACTCCTGCCTTTGTCTAAGCTGGAGCATCTGCTCAGCCAGGCCGGCTCGGGGGCTAGCGAAACTCTCGCCGCAGTTTCCATCGCGAGCGAGCTTAAGCCGAAGCGAGACGTCGGCGGTTGCGGTGACGGTAGCGGCAACGATCTCTTTTCACCCCTGTCGCCGTTCTCCCGCCGGTGTCTTGCAAGGTCAAGAGGAGCGCCAATCTCAACACAAGGGTCTCCGCGTAGTAGACGAGTGGAGGGGCTGGAAGGCTGCGTTTCTGACGAGAGCAGTCGTCAGGACGGGAGTAGAGGTTCAGGCAGGGTATCAAGCCGGAGCCATGAACGGCCTGGAACACGGGGTGTGGAGAGGTCGGGGGAGGCAAAGAAGAAGAAGGGGGCGCTCCGAATTAGTATGCAGGGGCTGGAACTGCCAAGTAGAGCCGCGGGCATGGAACAGGGGAATGGTCGCTGGGATCCAAGCAGGTACACATCACGACCAGAGGAATGGATAAGGCCCCCACCCAGCGTACTAAAGCAACGCTGGAACGACAGCGCCAAGGTGAGGTGCGAATGACAGTCTCAGGTAAGGTATTCACCCGACCGCCTGCCGAGGTCATTCGACGAGCACTTCAGGGCAGCATAGTCTAGGCAGGTGCTTACCTACATCGCAATGTGTGGTCGCGCCAGTGGCGCGCATTGCCCATCACCAGCAACGGTTTAGCCATTGTCTGCGAACGCTTGCCGGGACAAAAAGATTCGGCACCGGTGCATCCTCAACTAGCCTTTTGACCCACGCAGCTTTTAGTGGCCCGCAACGCCTATCTCCTTCCTTGGATCCCGTTCTCTCTGCCCCTTAACACCCGGAACACAAAACGAGACCATCGCGCACCCATCCCCTCCCAACAGGCGTTTGTGCCCGTTAACAACTACACGTTCGATGGGCTCTACCGGAGACACCACCCGCTTGATCACCGTGGCGACGAAGACCACCGCCACGTCGACAACGAGCGAGACATGGTCACCAGAGGCGGCGGTGACGACAGTTGGTGCTCTGAAGGAAAACGGGACGGCCCTATCGCGCAGGAAGAATCCCCAAGCAGGCCTGATGGCCCTTGTTGTTCTTCCGCAACGGCTGCAGATCCTCTCCCTGGAGCGGCGGGTGGTAGTTGTTTTGCGAAGCGGGTGGAAAGCATCATGCAGGAGGAATACGGCACGTTTTTCGATGGGATGACACAGAGCGCGACTGAGCTGTACCAGGTAGGTGTGCCATCACATGCCTCGAAAAAATGGCTCGGATGCGAAGAGGACCTCACTGAGTCTTCCGCCACTGCCGGCGCCTCCGACACCAAATAAAATTTGTAGACTGCGACTGCCGCAGGGTGCGTAGGTTGCGTGTGGCCCACGTGCTGCCCTTTTTTTTAGAATGCGTTACTGGTAACTTGTTCTTCAGGGCAAGTGCTTGCCCAATAGCCACCTCCCCAACCTTTGCTCTACGGTACCCCTGCCTTTGCCGATTGATTCAGCACATGATCAATGACTCGGGATCGTGGGGTAGAGTTGATGACCCGATCGGCATTTTGCTGCGCCGGGCCGCCTTCTTCATCGTCGAACACCCGTCTCCTGCCACCAGGGCCGAGCTGGCGGTTGCCAGGGAGAGAGATCTCGTGGCAAAGGTACTGCAGTCTAGATTACTGTTGTTTGTGGCTCCTGAATCACATGTTGGAGAACGCAGGGGTGAGCACGCTTCTGCCTTGATGCCAAGACTGCATGCGTGAATAGTCTGTAATAAAAAAATACACAAAGTTTGCGGTGACTACAAAAACAACAACATGACACCCGAGTCTTTCGTTTTCATGCAGTAGCATCCTCTGGAAATCATATCAACACCACCATTCAAATGGAATTATTGTTCACGCGAGAAATGCCAGCCCCAGGTCATGCTTCAAGAGAACGAGAGGTGAAGAGAGGACGAGAGTGAGAGGCTGAGTGCCAGCCAGAGAGTACCATGCAAATACCGGAAGCGACCTAGATATGTTGAAAGGGCCCGAAAAAGTGCATCAAGCATTCGATAAGCCCACCTTTACCCCCCATATTTCTCCTGTTTCGACAAGGGTTTCAGAGGGAAAAGAAACAACCTTGCGAGGCCCATCGCACTTGCCGGAAAGTTTAAGCCTCGAGGACTGGAGCAAGATTTAGCTCGGGCAGCGCTCGCAAGTGAACATGTGAGACTGTGGTCGTCGCCGTACATGGAACGCCTCAAGTTGCTCGTGCGGGAAAAATGCGAAATTTGCCTCTCAAAGGCAAAGAAAGCCAGAAAATAGTGTCGCTCGGTATTTCTCGTCTGTCTGATATGTGTATGTCAATACTAAGGTCGGCGCGGTACCATCTACTTTTTCGCACCACCTCCAAAGAGCTGGCGCAATAGTCTGCACCATGGAGCCTCTGCAATCACTTTCTGCTCGAATTCTCCAGCTTCCCTTGTGTTGTTTGGTGCCATACTTCTCGAAGGTGCCGATGGGACGCGAGGCGCTTCGTGAATTTGTTCGTCAGCTCGATGCAACCAGAGCGGATTCACCCTCGTCATCCTCTACCCAAACGCCCAAAACCGCTTTGACGGGCCGTACATACGGGTCCGCCCCCGTGGACCCCTGCAGGACGTTGCTCGAGCGTCGGCTTGAGGCCGCAGCCGCACTGGCGGATCCGTTCAAGGTTCGTCTGGAGGCAGATGGTGTTTTGAACGTGAGAGTGCTCGCGCGTGTCCCTGTGAGAGCCTGGGGGTTACCACCGCATTTTATCGAAGAAATCGAGAGAATGCTAGGCCTTCTGACGGCGAGAACATGCGCATCTGAACACTTCAGTGCTCACCGTGGAAAGCAAAAAGGCAGGCCTCCCGGCGTGGATGCACCGCGAACGCCGGCGTCGTGCAGCGGCGACGCATTCGCGAATCCAAAGCCCAACGACCGCGACGGTAGTTTCAGGTGTCGCGACAGAAAAAAGGGGAGGACGCCAAAACGTCAACATTTGTTTGAGTTTGATCCCAGGTATCAGAGATCGTCAATAGACCCGTTCGGTCGCCCCCCGCGTCTGGACCGGGTACAAGCCTGCCTCAATCCTCGACAAGATACGGAAGCCGACGGCCAAACATCTTCTAAGGATGAGGATGACATCCCCCACGGGATCTGGGACCGACCGGCGGCCTCGGAGAATCCTTCCGTAAAGGGCGAGACAGGTGACATCAGAAAGATTGAAGTGGTGCCGAAGGCGGCAACAGCGGCATCCGGTTGTTCGCTCCCCTCCCTCCCCGTCGAGGGCACCTTGCTTGACAGGACCCAAAGCGATTTACTTGCCGAGCAAGAATCTAGCAGCCAACGAAAGCCTAACGCTCAATGGGAACAACCACTGCCCAACCAGCGGGCACCTACGAAAAAATCTGGAAGAAGTGAAGGTAGCGTCTCCTCTTCCGCGCCCGCCAAGACGTCGCCATCATCGTCACGGCGATTCATTTGCCGAGCACAGCCGGACTGTGGAGCTGCATTTGCCAAAGCATCTAATCTCAAATCCCACGAGAGGTCCCACGCCGAGGTACCTGAATACCACCGGCTCCGTCGCTCCCCTCAGCTCTTCCGCGACAGGCCTCCGGCCTCGTTTGAAGGTGCCGGGGCTGCGGCCGAGAAATTCCGGCTACGCACAACTTTACCGTCCAGCGTGCGACAAGAGCTGCAACAGTTGCACGAAGAAAAAGCATTGCGAACTCGTCAAAGCCTTCTTGCCGGGCCGGGACTGTCAGGGACGGTGGCGACCTGGGCCGGAGTTGCTTCACCCGCACGGGGACCTTTCGGGCGATCGGTGTCCCACAACGAGCACCGTCTGGGGTGAAGAATTGATACACTGGCGCACGCTGTGTTGGTGGGAGTGTTAGCTTTTGTGTTGGATTTCGCGAACTTATGGCCCGTTGAGCCAACTATTATCTTTGCGTGGCGCGTTGTGGGTCGTGTCGAAACAGGAGCGAGGAGGGCCTGGGGTGCCGCTACGAATCGTGCGGTAGACGCAGCGTGTAGATGTCATGGGCACCATTACACAAGGGAGGATACCAACAGGTCCAATGTGCAGCCTCACAAACTTTAGACTAGGCGCAAAAAGCAAAACTACTGCATTCACGTTTGCGCGCGGGTGTGGGGTGATTGCGCGCGGGTGTGGGGTGATTGCGCTAATTGTTTTGGGTGCCACCTGGTTGCATCACTTAATTCTCAGCCGCCACAACGTTCCGTAGCAACATCAAACACTACTAGCTCGAAACTGCCCGCAACAAGCCTCTTTACACGAAATTATCTTGAACACTAACCAGCATCTCTGTCAGAGGGCATGGAAACAGGCTCGCCATACTCGGTGCCCATCGAATCGCCCGTCTCAATAACATCAAGGTAAACGGTGACACACAACTAAAAAGGCGAAGCCCCCAATCCTCCCCGATCTACGCCACCGCCTGATTCGTCGTACAGCGGCACCAAGGGATCTCCGTCGAGAATCTGCGCCCGTATGTTCTCTTCCTGGATCCGGTACCCGCCCATCTCTTCCCGAATCTCCCAACACCTGTAATCGGCGGCTGAGAGAGTCGCTGCGGCCTGGCGCTGTCTAGCCTCGTATGCTTGCTTTTCGGCGTCCATTCTTGCCTTTTCTTGTTTTGCTAAGCCGCGAGGAAGTGCGGTCACCCGGTTGAGATCAAATGACGGGAGTTCGCCACCACCTCTGCCACCGCCACCTGATCCAGCCAATGAAACACCGATTGACGCCAGAAACGCGGTGTCCAGGTCCCGGTCAGCGGCAGCGAACGAGGCGGCGAGTTCTCGCGATGTCTTGATCTCCTCCGTCTCGAGAGCGATACCCTCAAATCCCTCGCTCAGCAGCCGGTCAACGTCGTCGCCGTCATCGAACTTGAGCGTCGTGCTCCGGCTGCTGCTGCTGCTGCCGAATAAGCGACGGTGAGAGGAATTCCTGTCACTCCCGTTCGGAGTCGAGCATGAGCTCGTCCTACGGTGCTTGGCGCCGTCCGGTCTGTAATCAAGGAGGAGCGGCGCCGTGCGCTTGAGCGTGGCCGAGGCCCGCGCTCCGACGATTTCCGTGTTGCCTGTCGGGTCGCGAGAAGGGGCCAACACCCGCTCTTCGCTCGCCGTCACCGCGTTCGACCCAAGCGATGGCTGAGGGAAGAGTCGAAGACGGGAAACAGAGCACGAGTGTGACGGCGCCGTTACGATGGAAACATGAAACTGAGCCGCCCTATTCTCCTGCTTCTACCGTAGAACAACAACACTGGCCAAATACCGACAGTTACTTCTCGACAAGATGCTCTCGAAAGCAACAGCGTTCGATCTTGATCGTGCTTGACCATGTAGACAGGCCAACCAATGGTGAAGCCTGGTCATCAACGACAGGAGTCGATGACACCCTGGACACCACTTGTGTGCGGGTCCATGCCAGTGTCTAGCAGAAAAACAATCCTCGTCGCGAAGGTTTCACGATCCACGCCACATCCGACATTGTTTGTGTACATAAAATCTTCCCCAGTAAAGGATTTCCGCGAAAAGACGGATTCCCCCGGGGCCGCCTTCTTTGCATTAACGGCAAGACGCCAGCTCTGGCAGTGGCAAGCTAATACGGAGTAGTTATTGTCGTACCAGAAAAACATAATCTTGTATCAACTAGAGAATAAAACACCGCTCTGCACGCAAGCAATGAACCACATGAGCTGGGCGTGAAAATCCTGCACTCTCGCGCAACTGGACTTTCGACAGCAAAATCCAATACCAGGTGTCACGTACACAAGCAACATCACTCACCCCTCCGAAAATCTCAGCCTCCAGCAACCTCGGTACCGCACCACGGTCCGTTTCTCCCTCCAAGCGATCCTGGCCGAAAGATGCGATGAAGTGAACAACAAGGGGGCGCCTTCCCGCGCCCTCCCCGGATCTCGCCAGCACCACTCTCCTCGTGATCGCATCCCGCACCAGCGTACGCCAGGGCGGGGGGGGACCCTTCATCATGACTCCACCTGACAATGCTTCCGCAAGTCGAAAGCGCAACTCCTGCGCCATCAACCCACTCCCGAGATACTTCTCTAGCTCCTCCACCCGGTCCCACGCCACCTCCGGTCCCAGGGGACGCGCGCCTTCCCGCCCCGCCAAGGCTTCCGGACTGAACGCCTCCGCGAGCTTCGGAGGGATGGTGGGCAGAAAAGCGGCTCGCAAAACGACGTCCGCCCCTCCGGCAAAGCCAGGGTTCGTGCGGCTCGGCATACCGAACGATGGCAGCACCGTTTCCCAGTCGAGAGGCAGTGCGCCCGAGGCTTCCAAGGCTGTTTTTAACCTACCCGCGTCGCTGGGCTCACCGTGGGTGGCGCTGTCAGGTGCGTCAAGAGGCGACCCGGCGATTTCTCCCCCAGCGGCCCGCGCCGCTCCTGGAACATACACTATCTCTCTCCGTTGGCGCCCGTCCATGACAGCCGCCGTCGCGGCAAACTCTGCAATCGGCCAGGCGCTGCTCCTGCGTACGAGCAGGTGGCACACGTGCTCTGTCGCGCGATTCGCTGCCTCGACGACACAGCCCAATGGGGGGTCTTCGTAGCGGGACGAAGGCAGAGTGAGGCCGACGGCGTCGGCGTAGCGGTCGTCCGCAGTCGCCCGGGACACGGCAGTATTGAGCAGTTCTTGAAGGCAGCGGGTGGCCACCAAAGGATGCCTAGGGGCCCGTTCTGAAACAACCGCAACGGATAAGGGATTGAGCGGTGTCAAAAGGGCAGGACATGGGCCACGTGCATGGATGCCCCGTCGCCTCAGAGAAAGCCGGTTAAGTAGGTCGCACCTCATGCCCAAAAAACAACAATTCGCATATACCACAACAAACGATCCTCAAACCCCACCTGCAAGTTCCGCCAGCTTCCCTGCAACGTCCTCCGAGCAAGCGTCCTCCAGACTGCCCGCAAACACCACATCCGCTCCCCTAGCTGCAGCCGCCTTCGACCTGCTCTCGAACTCGTGCAGCCCTACTAGCGCCACCCGGAAGCTGCAGCCGTACTGAGCCACCTCTCGCAGCCCCAGCCCTTCCCACGCATCCTCCAGAATTCTCTCGCGTGTGCGATCGAAAGCGGTCGGGTCAGCGCAACTGGCGTCTCGTTGCAAGGCCGAGTCCTTCACCGGGATAACGACCAGAACTGGCACTCCGATGCTTGCTGTACCGCCAACGCGCGGCGACGCCGACTCGAGCGCGAGTCGAAGCTCTGCTTTGGCCTGGGACCAGTCCGGCTGTGGCACATCGCCGGACATCGGAGAGGGCAGGACGTAGCGAGATATTAATAATTAGCATCAAGTCAGGTGTGGTGAAATTCATACCCCACATGCCTTGGGAAGGGAACCTCCGAGATGCGGCTTGCAGCATTTCTGATGTTTACTGCAACCTTTGCACTCGTTCTTCGACCCGGAACTACTTCACTGGCCCAACCGCTGACCATTCAACCCATGGCACCGTCTCCTGCCTCCCAACAACTTGGTCGCTAGTTTGAGCCACCTTTGGGTGCAACGGTGACCAGAAAAAGCGGTCTTGGTCCCTCGGTGTTGCCGCGAAGACCACCACGCTCGCTGCCTTTAGCTTCTCCGACAATTGCGACGAGGGCTCAAGGCGGCACCCCTTGTGGACGCTAACGCGCTGCACGCAAAGGTGAATCCACTGGGGAGGCGCGCTGCTCTTCTCGCATCGAGCCGGCGTGGTCATCCGCAACTCCCTGGCAAAACAACGGCAATGAAACGGGCAAGAAAAAAGCGAAGGCCGACCGTGTGAGGCCATTAAGTGTGGTGGGGCAACAACGCGGCACGCGAGGTGGAGTCGTTGGTCATCTTCCGGAAGCGGTCTGGGTCAGCACTGAGGCCGGTTTAACTAACCCGGCGTACGACGAAAGGACCTTCCGAAAACAAGCGCTGGCATTCGTAGACCTTGGGTATTGCCACTAAATAGGGCAGTCATCCAATGGAATACAGGTGAAGGCCCACCAACTGCGGAGAAGGCCCACCAACTGCATCGGGCGCATCAGGAGCAAACAAACACCGTGCTGCTGCAGGCAGTGCATTGCAGCATACGAACACACACCCAATGCACATCATCACCAACCCTCGTGAGCACTCGGACGCCACCATCGCGTCCATCAACAACACGATTTCACCCCTGAAGACTGTGACAAAAATCTGGATCTCCCACTTTTCTGCCGAGGGCGAATCAGGACTAGATGGCCCAAACCCCCCTCCCCCGTCTGCTCGACCCACCTTAGCTCCCGGAAGATGAGCTTCGAGGTACCCGAACTCCCGCACGAACTTTCCTCTTGGTCCTCGGCGCCTGACATCACCCCCTCATCCAGCTTGGGGAACAACCCGTGAGACACCAGCTCCCGTCGGTACGCCGATATCCCCGCCGCGCCACCACCTGCCGCGCTTCCGCCGAACTTGGCCTCGAGCCACCCCCCTACGTTCCCTCTCGTATGAGATGGTGCTACCACCACCGCCTTCCAGAACAAGTGGGGCGGAGCGGGGGACAACCCTCCGGCCGGTAGCAGCAAGGAGTTGTCGGGAGAGCTGCTCCGCTCCCTGGCCTTGGTGCCAGGCCTCCGAACCGTCGTCAGTCCCACCGCTCTGAACGCTTCCTCGGTTTCTTCTCCCTGGTTCTTGGCGACCGCTGGCGACACGACGGCGGCAACGTCAAGCGGTCGGGGCTTGCGAAGCTCCCAGCTTCGGGACACGCCGTGTCGCTTCGCTTCCGTATCCGCTGCTGCTGTTGTCGCCGCCCCGGCCTTTACCTCGCCTAGTACGCCACTGCCCTTATCGTTGAAGGACAGGGAGCGACGCTTGTTGGTTTTTCTGAGGATGGAAGCCTTCTCGGTGAGGGCACTTCGCTCTTCGAAGCGTCGGTTGTGGAGCTCCATCTGTTCCGCGGGGTGTGGCGAAGGACATGGGGAAGAAAAGGGAGGGGAATATTACTTCGAATAACCCCTCGCATGGTGCATCAACACCTACCGTGTCAAGCAGTCCTATTCACAGTCTAATCGCATTCTGCCAATTTGACACTCATCGAGCGCTTCTTGTAGAGATGGACAAGTCGACAATGCGTTGTACTTATCGCACGTCGCTGGAAGCACATGGCGAGGGCGGACTGCCGCACAAAAAATCTCCGGCTCAAAACAAAACCGCAAAGCTGCAGTTCGACCTTTCCTCACCAAATGCTGTTCTTCCACCCAAGATGTCGTCTCCTCTAACCACACTCCCCAGGCCGCAGACCGCCTACGGCGCAAGACGGCGGTTTCCAGCTGAGCAAGGCGTAATCCCGACTTTTTCCGGTGTTCTAAGGCTGACCGTCGCAGCGGGCCGTCCGGCAGCTGCGGTGTACACACGGGTGTGATTTGACGGGTCAGAACAACGCAAGCTGGGGTCATGCACTGCTGGTAAGCTCTGGCGGTGCGACTGATGTAGCTGTGTTGAGCGACTACGTTCTACCGACGGCGTTGTTGTGCAACAACATAGCTTGGACGGCCAACTCCTTGGGCAGATTCGCCTCTTCGGATGGTCAAAACAATTACCACACCCATGCACGTGATCGCGACAAGCAAAAGATCGCGAACAATACTGGCCAAGGTAACGAACGGCACGCAGTATGCCCAGCAGCACGGAAACGAGTGCCAAGAGATTCCTTCGGCACTATCGATGAAGTAGAGCTATTAGCAGCTACAGGCAGCACTTCTTCACACCACACGCTACGTACGCATCGAAACTGCAGCCCTGACCAGGTACCCGTTATTTGAATGGAGTGTGAACGTAGCAGATTTATTTCCTAGCGCCTCAGTAAAATGGTCGAAAAACTCTCACCTCATGGACCACATCCGACGGAACAAGTCTCCCCGCCGCCAGCGCACGCTCCGCGTGGCTTTCGGCATCACGCACCCGCTTCGCTTCATCCGCTGCCGCCGCTGCTGCTTGCGCCGCCCTTTGTCTCGCAGCGGCCAGTTCCTTTCGTCTCGCTTCCTCCGCCTCCGCTTTCTGTCGCCGCTGCCGATCATCCATCGCCCGCTTTGCGTCCTCCCGCGCCGCCTGCTGGGCAGCCGCCAAAGCGGCGTTTGCCGCTGCGCCCTCCGCTGGTGAGGCGCCAGCGGCTGTGGTGTTTGTGGGCGTCTTCCGATCTCTCTTCGCCTGGTCACGAGACGCCGGGTGCGGGACGTTAAGCCCGTCCCCCGTCGAGGCACCGTCTTCGACCAACCGGCTCGGAGGCGAGACAGGCGATTTTCTACGTTTGACAGGCGCCGCTGCAGCTACAGCCGCGGGTGTTGAGCCGCCGGCTTGCGGAGGGGTTGGAGCGGGGGCAGGGGCGAAGGTGGAATCGGGCGCGATCGAAGCCGCAACCGACCCTTCCGTCGCAACGCCCGCGCCCGGGCCCTGGCCACCCGGCGCGCCCCCCGCCGAATCAGATGGGAGACTGGCGCCTTTTCCCGTAGCCACCGTCGACGAGGCTCCAGCCACACTGCCAAACTCTGCACCGATGGTACTAGCAAGCGGTGGGAATGCCAACGGCGGCGTCGGCGTACCCAAACTCGGTCCTTTGCCTACCGGAGCATCCTGTGCTTTAGACTTCGAGGACGGCGCGGGTCTATGCGGCGCGAACACGAAACCACCACGCGCGACGAGCGGTGCTGCGGGAGAGGACGTCGCCAGTGAAGAGACAGAAGCGCCCTGCGGCGTCGTGGTGGGTGGCTGGCCCGAAAAGGGCTTGTTCGAAGAAGCTTCTGTGTCCTTCGCACCGAGTGACCCAAACGGCGGGAAAGCACTCGCTGCAGCCTTTCCGGCACCTGAGCCAGTGCTGGGAGCATCCCTGTCGCCACCCCCGGAAAGCACTCCCGTGTTGCCGCTAGAAGAAACGTTTGCTGGCGAAGGACTGGTTTGAGATTTCGACGGGCGCCGCGGCACTGCCACTTTCCCAGCAACCATTGATCTCAGGCTTCCTCCTCCTCGCCCGCTGGCAGACCCAGTGGACGAGGATGACGTGGCCCTTGTCAAGGCGGCTGCTTCTTTCGCGCCATCCGACTGCTGCTGCTGCTGCTGCTGCTGGCGGGGAGCAGCGGTGACGTCGTGAGACTTGTCCGCTGATGGCTCGTAGTCATCCTTGCACACCCACTCGGACGCAAGGCGCCAGGGCTTGGGCTCCACGAGGTCCTGCAACGGCGGAGGATCTGGCATAGCCACCGGGTGCTTGAAAGCCATCGTCCACCTGCCATTTTGGTCCCTCGTCCTAAGGTGCACCTGATGGCACCCCCGGAAAATATCGACAGTTTTCGCCAGGCGAAGGTCGACCGAGTAAGAGAGAGGACGTACGGAAAGGGAAATCTGCCGGGAAAGTTGCGGAAGAAAATATCGGCTGGTATCTGCGGGTGCAACGCGCAATAAGACGGGTCGCCATTCGTAGGAAGTTCTGTTTTTCTGCCACAGAGAGGTGTGAGGGTGCGGGCGTCAGCGCGGTGGGGACGTGGACGCGCGGGAGCCAGGGCCTCGACGAATACTCCGTCGGTGGAAAGGGCAACAGTGGTGGCAGAGGAATCGCGAGGACTGAGAGGAAAGCCAGAGGCTGGCAACCAAAACACGAATAACGCAAGGACAATTGATCTACATCCAGAGAGGTAGTACGTGAGTAGAAAACTTGCTACTAAACCTGCTGAAAATGCCCAGAGCCAATAATAATGGCTTCCTAGGTAAATGAATCCCCAGGCGAAACACAAGGAACGCTCTTGATGTCGGTTGACACCTCGAATACACATATAAACCCACAAGGCTCGATTCTCACCTGACCAGCACGTGACACCTTCAAGCTGTACACCATCAGAAAGTCGACGGCCTGGTCTTCGCTCTCAAAGCACAGCAGTCGCATCAGCTCCGAAGTGGAGAAGTCGGCGAACGACTGGGCAATCGTCTGTGAAAACGTGCCGAGCAGGGGAGACAGCAAGGACCAACAACCGCACTAAGTCGACCACCTGAACGATTCTAATCCACAATATAACCGTTGGTATTTATTGGATATCACAGCCGGTGCTAGGCTGGGGTAGGGGGTTGACCAAGCGCGACACGTTCCATTCACTCGAGAAGACAGGCTTTGCTCGCAACGAGGCGTTGTTTTTGATCATCATGCCTGCCACGAGCACCTAGGCTATTGTTGCTGCTGCTGCTGCAGTAGGCTCGTAAGCGGTGGAAAGAAGGTCCTTCAGGCATGGCGAACAGTGACGGCCGGGACCAAGGAACCTCAGGCGCCACAAGAGAGCTTTCGCAAAAAATGAGCTTATCATGGTCGAGAAAGCACGTCGGGTCAGCATCATACTCGCCGATCAGAGTGCTGCTTGGGAGACGGTCGAGTTCGTTGGCAGACAGAAACAGTGCCCCCCATGAGTCTAGTGTGACCAATGTTGACTAAGAAACCGAGTACAAGGCGGGAACCATACCACTGCATGGTCTCGAAACAAGCGCACACAACTCAGCATCTCACAACATCGTGGGTCCAAGGCTGGCAGATGACGAACTTGAGGTGCACCGAAAGTTCCTCTATTTTCCTAGACCTTGGAACAACCCACTCAAAAACAGGCTGCTGAAATACTCATGCACACATACACAACATCGAGGTAGCCAAAAGAGCTGCGAACGTAAAGCCCGTTCGGCTTTTTCCCATCTGTGCGTCCCATTCCGCCCGCCCCCCGCACGCGTACGCACAGCACAACTGACAGCACAAGAGAGGCACGCACTTTGATCGCCGTATCGCGCATAGGCTTGACATACTGGGACATGAGGCACCGGTGCATCACCCCCTGCTGCCGAAACGCCCGGAAGAACGTGACGTAGTCCCCGGCATGCCACGCTCGCACGACCTTCAGGGCCCCTTTGATCTCCGGAGAATCGAGCACCTCCTCGCGCTGTTTGGGGGCGGGAGAGGAGTGGGGAGCAGTAGTGGAAACCGAAGCGCCGTAAACGAGAAAACAAACTGTCAACCGTGGTCTACTGGCATCCAAACGGTGTGGCATCGTAGCCGACGAAGCAACCAACGTAACTGTGTGGAGGGTGGCCAAAATCGACCAGCTTGCCAAACGCAGAATACGTCATCAAGACTACGAACCCCTCGCAAAAAAGTGGCGTGTTTCACCTCTTCGGCATAAATCCACCAACATCCGAAGGAAAACAAGAGTGGAATACTCAGGTCTCGGGCATAACGGCGTGATCACAGCCAAGGCTGCCATTGATGAGTGGTTTGGTGACCTCGATCTTTCGCCACCGTCCGTGCGGAGATCATGAAGTTCACATTCGCTCATCAACAAATTGCAGAACCAAATCAACGCGGCTGATATCGAAACCAGCTCACCCGTCTCCTGACCAGGTCCTTGACCAAGCGCTGCACCTCAATACCACCGTCTTGCTCGAGCACCGTCAGCAGGTAGTACGCCATGATCTGTGGTTGAAGCGGAACAACGTCAGGAAATCGATAAGCTGTGGGCGTTGGGGCATGGAGAAGCGGAGACTTAAACTCGTTGGATTCGGCAAAGAGCGTGAAAGCGGGCGCAGACGTTTTTGGCGACTCTCGGCATAACACATAACACCACTTGCTTGACACCCTTCGTAAACATTGCTCCTTGGCCGAAACGCCGTGAGCGTGCACAATCAAACATTCAATAGACAAGCTCATTTCGAGTCGAGCGGCGTCAAAAGTCACGTTCGACTTCATCGGCCTCTACACTCCCACAACAAGGACAAAGCCGAATCACCACCGCATAGATGAACTTCGCAGATGAAGATCTCCGATCAGGCGTGTCAGCGGAGCTTCTCTGCCAATTAGAACAAGCCTGCATCAACCCTGAGCCCACTTGGCGGAAACGAAAGGGTGCTGGTGTCAGCCAAAACCAGAAAAACTTGCTGTGCTTCTACGACAACTATCCAGTCGTAACGGTCCATTCCCGCCCGTCGCCTCGGGAGACGGTTCTACCGTTGAACACTACTTCACACAAAATCAGCTGATCTGGTTGCATGGCTCACCTCTGGCTCGTTGGGGCTGGCGAGACCTCCGCTGACCTCTCCGCGAGAGACGCGAATGGTGTAGAACTCGTACTGCAAGTAAACGAAAAAATTGTCGGAGGGGCGGAAAGATGGGGATGGGTGAGGGCAACGGCTAACCTTATGAGTCAGAACACTTCGTGATACATGTAGTTGTGTTCTGATGATGGGATAAGTTGCCGTTGTTGCTGTCCTCACCAATAAGGAATTTGAATCATGCACAATTTCATCAGAAGCAGGTGGAGGTAAAAGCGTGAACATGCGAACATTTGAGGACTCAAGAACAACAACAAAAACGAAGCTCAAAGCGTGAGGTGGCCGTGCCTTTGCTCCCCCACACTGCTATTTATCTGCCTCACGACCAGCGAGCTAAATACCTCGTGTCAAAAACGTAATCGTTAATCCTAAGGCGTGGTTTCTGCGAGACACCTTCCGATTTACCCGATACAAACGTGCCTTTGCACCCCCACACCGTTATTTATCTACCTCACGACCGATGAGCTAAATACCTCGTGTCAGTACGGAAATCGTTACTCCTAAGGCGTGGCTTCTGCGAGGCACCTTCCGAAGTACCCGATACAAACGCGGAGGTGCTTTTCCCAAGCGCGCGTGCTCCCGAGGGATGACGCATGGGCATACCGCACGTGAAGGTGCAGCAAACTCGCAATAACCAGCAAACTTGATATCCCTAATGCACACGGAGGGCTACCTCACCAGCTTCTTCAGGGTTTCGACGATGGACTTGAGGTTGAAGCGGTGGGTCTGCATGCTGTTCTTCTCCATGCGATTGGCCATCAGAATGTACCATCTGTTGCGCGAAAACAAAAGCAAAGCCGAGGCCCGTGGGCAATGAAAGGGTCAGAATGACCCACCGGTGGCAGTTCGCGGTAACCCGGGTTGGGATACACTCCCTCCTCGCGAAACAAAAAACTCGGGAGAGGACCGAGATTACAAGCAAACACAAGTGCGTATTGGCCTTATTCGGGATAGCCATGCTTCAGGAACACGGCGAGACTCCACCATGATAAAAAAATATCCACCCAAAAGCCAAGCGTGGCATTGGCGGCAAACTCACACAGGCAATACAATCATGCTCATAGAAACATGCACACCGTGTTGAGAACGGTGTGTCCGGCGCTGCATCGCACGCGCCGTATGAAAAAGACAAAACCAAAGAACGCGAATGGAATCAATACTAAAATTAAGAGAAGGAAGTTGAAACACCGCAAAAAAAGCCGCCACGAGAAGCAAGGTGGTTGAAGGTCAAGAAGGCCAACCTTTTGCGCACCTTGCCATACGCTCATGTGCCACGATGCTAGCCTCGGACACGAGTCCAACCACAGGGTTATAGCCCTGCATGTTGTAGTCAGATCTGACCATCCGGAACCGGTCCCACACGAAATTGTACAGCTGAACGGACAGGGCAAGGCAGGACAAGAGGGCACGTGGAGGGAGACAAGCAAAGGATGTTGAGTTTGGCGGGGGTTTGGATTCAACACCACATGAGAAGAGCACCGGAAAGGTGGATGCCTCGACTTAGCATTTTCACTTGGTAAGGCTCCCATCCACCATCACATGGATATTGTGCATACTACACAACAAGCTGTACGTCTCAACTTTGAAAATTCAGGTAACATGGCAGGGAATAGCTGAAAACTGGCAGCGACGTACGACGGATGCCACTCTTGGCAAGAGCAGAAGGCAACACAACAGTACTCACGGACATGCAGCAACCCGCCGATTCAATCACCGGATACTGGATGGCACTCTCAACACAAAAGCACCCATGACTGTCTTGATCCCCTTAGGCTCACCCACCCCTTCCACCACAAAGCACCCTCGAATACCGCCTACGCACATCGTGTTCAGTCTCTTCCTCCGCAGAGTCTGCCCGCGACGGGTTGTTCGCCCGAAACTTGGCTATGTACTCCTGGATTCGGGGGTCGTCCCAGACCAATCCCGGGTCCCCTCCGCCGTGAGGCCCCTTGTCCACGCAATTCATGACGAGGTGGTCCACCGTGCGCGCCAGCCAGAGCGGCGTGCGCAGCAGCTCCGGCTTGCTGATGTCCATCCCCGCCGCCGCGCGCTGGTGCCTCTTCACCACGAGATCGTCGTGGAACCAGAGCCTAGGCGGCCCGCCGTCCCCCTGGTCGGGCATGAAGAAATCCGGGTGCTCCTTTTCGAGAATGTGAAGGTCCCCGGGCACGCGGCGCGACATCTCCTCGGGCGGGCACATCGCCTCCACTGTCCCCTGCTTAATCTTTGCATCATCCAGGTGGCTCCCTCTCTGGACGTCTTCAGCAGATCCTCCGCCGCCGCTGCTCCCAGCCCCGCTACTGCTATTGACGCCACCACCCTTGGTACTACCACCCCCGCCGACGCCACTCCTGCCCCCGCCTTCACCGGCAAATCTTTGGGCTCTACGAGCCTTGGCAGCAGCATCAACAGCGTCCAGGCCCGAAGCAGCACCGCTTCCGCCTCCTCCAGCAAACGCAGGTGGGGAAGAAGATACCTCAGGGGGTGGGTTACCGAAACCGCCCATAATTCTGCTTCGCCCGGTGCTAGCCGCCTTCTTCGATTTGGACGCAACTCCTGCACCACCTCCGCTTCCACCTCCTCCAACGAACGCAGGTGGGGAAGAAGATGCCTCAGGGGGCGGGTCACCGAAGCCGCCCATAATTGTGCTTCGCCCGGCGGCGGGCGCCTTCCTTGATTTGGATACACCGCCTGCACCAAATCCGCTTCCGCCTACTAAGCCGCCCAGGATTTTACTCCCCGTAGTAGGCGCTCTCTTTCCCTTGGATACACCCGCTGCACCGACTCCGATTCCGCCCCCTCCGAGAAACCCAGGTGGGGAAGACGACGCCCCTGGGGGTGCACTGAAGCCGCCCATGATTCTACTTCTCCCCGTGGCCGGCGCTTTCTTTGACGTGTTGGACCCACCGGCTGCGCCCGCTGTCCTTACTCCTCCCACGAACGTTGGGGCATCGGAAGAAGCCATAACTGGTGGTGGGGACCCGAACGCACCCATAATTTTGCTGCCACCCGACCCGGCACTTGTGGTTGGATCAGCGGCGCCCGCGGCCGAAGCGCGATTCTTGTCCCTCTTACTGCCAGCACCACCCGTGGAGGGACCTGCGCCAGAGTCGTCGTTGCCTTTGCTCCCCCCGCCCCCATCATCGCCAGTTGCCGTTGCTCGTTTCTGAGCTTTCGCCCTCCCGCTCGCTGTCAAGAACCCCCCTGTCCATGAGCCGGAGCTAGGCGTGCGTTGGTCTGAAAAGCATGCCGCTGCCTGATTTCCGGCAAACCCACCCGACCTCGGCCGTTGTCCTTCGGCGGTCTTGCCAACCACTCCCGCTGCCGAATTGAACGTCGAACCACTGCCGGCCCAGGCGGTAGACAAAGCTCCCCGTTTTGCTGCGGCGACAAACGAGCTCTTGCCACCAGCAGTGGTATCAGGGCCAAAACTGGTACCGGTGGCTGAAACTTTCAGTTTTCCTCCTCCACCAGAACCGCCAAATAGTCCCGCCACAACAGCAGGCTTCTTTAGCCCCCCAAACCCGGTATTGGAGGTGGCACTCATCGGTTGCCATCCATCGCCAAAACTACCAGATGATGCTCCTGCAGTAGTAGACTTGGCCCCGCCGGTGGCGTTTGCACTACCTTGGAAGCCTCCTCCGCTTCCAAAACCTCTGGCGCGACCAACACCGTTCGTCGAAGGTGTCGTGGTCGCTGCTACCGTCGCCCAGCTCGGTGTACTAGAAGCGCTCTTTGTATTGGATATGACGCCGAATCCCCCCCCAGTAGTTGCCCCCCCCCCCAAAGTTGCGGCAGCGAAGCTACCGAAGCCTGCTTCAGTGCCGCCGAAGCCTGCTCCAGTGCCAAAGCGTGCTCCGGTGCCGGACCCGGACGCAGCAGCAGGAGCAGCGGCACCACCAAAACCCGCCGCAACACCCGATGGCTGCTTCTTGTTCACACTGCCAAAACCAGCACCTGATCCAAACACTGAAGACTCTTTGCTGGTAGCAGGCTGCGCTGAGGAGCCGAATGGCGGATCTCGCGACGCTCCTCCGAGCACTCCAAAGGTCACGGGCCGGGTGCCTTGGTTGCCGACACCAAACGTCCCCCCTGAAGAGCTTGGCGATGCTTGTGCATTTGGTGTTGGGGAAGCAGACTCCTTGTTGCCGCTACCGAACAGCCCACTACCTTGACTGATATTCCTGCTGCCGCTCCCTTTGCCTCCTCCCTCACTCCCTTGGCCAGTGCCGAACATGGGGATCAATGGACTGCTGTCAAAGGCAACTGCTGTCGTTGAGCCGAGAGCGAGGACTGCTGCTCCCTTTCAAAACGAGGTTGGGAGCCCAGTCCGACCAACTAGGGAGAGGATGACGCGTCAACCGACAACTTCGGTGGCTTCTTCATTCCATGCCCACCACCAGTAGGCTGTCGCTCGCTTGGCTGGACAACTGTCGGCGCACAGAGCAACCCGCAGCGAACAGCAGGCAACAGACAGCGGGGGGGCTCCGCGAATGAAAGAATGATGAACACGCGGTCCAAAAATATCGAACTCCGCGAAACCGCCGTGAGAACTATTCCCTCGATAGGCGGTTAGTCGGCGCCTTGTCTTGAAATCCCTCTCTTCCTCTCTGGTGTTGTTGTTGTTGTTTTCTCAACATTAGACTCGTGTCAGTTTATGTTTTCCTGTCTCTCGTGCTTTCTGGATGGGTGCTCACGTCGGTCTGTGGAAGTCAGCGCTTAAACAAGCGCTGCTGCGTACGATACATTTGACAGCACGCGTGATCCGAGCCATTGGCTTCACTGCTGTGTTGACCGGTCGTAACCAACTGAACTGTCGTACGCAGGTGGAGGAGAATTGCAGAGAGCACGCCATCGGGTATACCCATCGCTGCCAACGAACCGCACGTGACTAACAGGTTGCGAAGCGGCGGCGCGCCCGTGAAACGTGAAACATGGGTTTTCGTCAAGTGGATCCGTGCGTGCAGCGTCTTTGGGACCAGCTCGAGGACGAGGAACATGCCATATTGATGGAACGTCGACGACTGCAGAATATCTGGAAGCAAATTTCCACGATGCACAAGAGAAATGCGGAGGCGAGAGAAGCGTGAGTGGTACTATGTCACTCAGGAACCAAATCATGTTAAAGCTTGAGAGAGTCCGTGGAGCGAGATACGTAGATTCTCTTGTACAGCAGAGTACATGCACCTGTCGCCCCGGTGGTCTAGTGGGTAGCCTCGTAGCCTGCTAAGGGCCAGGTGATGGGTTCCAATCCCGACAGAGTGAGTTTTTTCTCGCTAATTGAATCCTGGTCTCCGTTGGAAGTGACCCGCTGCAAAGCTCGTTGTTAGTAAACTTGATCGACTTCGTAAGTCGCGAGGGAAGGGATTGCTGTACCCTTCTCGCGAGAAAAATATCTCAGGGAGGAACCGCAGGAGGGGGTCCAACCCCCCTCCTATGTGACCCCGGTTGGGTCGTCTAGCTGGTAGAAGTGGAGGATAGAGGCCAGAGGGGCAGGCGACAGAGTCCAATGATGGGAGAAAAAAATATAATGTAATAGGAGTCAAAAAACACCTCTTGGTAGTATGCCCATGAGCGCGGGACATCTCCAGTCAAAGGCCTCCTTCCGCACAGCAAACGTCTGTAGTTGAAAATTGAGCTTAGACTGAAGGTTGCCTACGTCTATCCTAAGGAAAAGGGAATTCTACAATATACACATATGCTATGAATGGCCCACAACTCCAGAGGACAGAGGGCAGACGGCAAAAAATTGAAATAGATCTGACCCTCTTGCACCGCTCAGCTGGCCCATAGCCCGAGGTGGAGGCGGCCGGCCAGCAGCACCTGCAACAACATCACGAGCTACATGTCCTCTGTCATGATCGTTCCTCAAGAGACTTCCTGGTGTTTGCATGATGCTGATGACACCAAGATGCTGATCACAAAATCAATCCCCGTGGTCTACGAAATCAGCTGACACGGGGGTAGTCTCCGACAGTAGCAGCGTCGGGTGTGGATGATAAACGTGCTGTGAAGTTTGGACTTTTGGCTGGTGACCACAACAACAATGGCAACGCAACGCGTACACTCACTTGTCGACCATCGCTTGTCGTCGTAAAACTGTTCTGGGCCATAAACTGGCGGGTCTACTTTCCACTAGATTTGAAAAGGAGGCAGCTTTCGACTTTGTCAGTGGCGAGGAGTCAATCGTTCTAAACATTGGAGGACAAAAGTTCCAGACAACGGCTGGCGTACTCTGTCGCGATCGGTTCTCCTTGCTAGCTTGCATCTGCAAGGTCACCCCACCGATTCCTAAGGGCGAAGACGGATCTTTCTTTTTCGAACGAGATTGGTGAGAAAAATAACGTCCGTGTCGGGGTCATACAGTACAACATAATGAGGTATGATCCTGACCTGTTTGTGCTCCATTAGCTACTATTCGATCGCTACTGTGTGCAACACAACCAATCTGCGGGTGGATCTATTCGTGCAAGGCACATGCCCCATCAGGGTCAACTATTGCTGTAAGCGATGGATTATACAAAAAACACCAAAGGATGCCAGGTCGACAGTGTTCCGTAGATCACCTCAAAACATACCGTCCGCTCCTCTTACGAAGTTATCGAGATCCAATGTAGAACTGGTGCTAGTAGACACGCCAGGACCACCCCATGCTCCTATTGTTGCGACTTTCACATTGATCCTCGTGCATAGAATACTTACGGGTGTGACGATCAATATTCGGTGGCCAATGCAAAACCTTTTGTATCACCCACACAACCTCGATGGGGCACCATTTGTGAAATCCGACTTTCGCTGGAGGCTAACCGGATACCCTGTTTACGTCTGACGGCGGCCCTTTGTAAAACTGTGTGCAGGTTTGTATTTTAATTTGTTGTTCGTGCAGGTGCGCGGTGCTGTTCGAGTCAAACCATGTCAGCTGTGTGCGTTGTTGGAGCTTGGGAAACGTCTCAACCAAGTGGCAGCTGGCAGCTAGATGTGGGCGGGCCGTGCTGCCTGCTTTTGTTGTGGCATCTTCCATCACCCCTTGATAATGTTGTGCTCTCATGAGCCTTGTCCGGAGGGCTCACTTGTACAAGCATGTCCATTTGAGCCACACTTGCTTACAACACGCACATGGATTTGTGGAACCAGGTGGATATTCCGCTACGTTCTACAGTTCTTGAGGACCGGTGACTTACCTCAAGACAAGGCACTTCTTCACGAAATGTACGTGCTATGTGTGCTGTAGGCAGTGTGGTTTTGTAAGGTACATTTCTCCTTTGTTCGTGCAGCTAACCGTGCAGCTAACCTTCGCCGACCTTGGTCGTGCTGAACATGGAATTATCATTCCCGTGCGCCAAACAAGGGTAGACTTCAACAACAGCAATGGGCGCTTCAGTGCTACTGCTGTCGGTACGGTCAACCGTCGACCGCAGAGTACAACTGCCCATGCGCAATACGGCGCAGTTCCAATCCCTAAAGTAGTAGCTACGGTGGGTACGATGGCCTTTGGTACCTTTACCCTTCTGTTCTGTCAAGTAAGATCGTTCGGTAGTTTTGCGTGGTGAATGGTGCCCGGCTTGAAACGAAGTGACAAATCTTGTATCTGGCTGGTCATTTAATCTATGCCATCGTGCGTGATACTTGTTCAGGTACGGCGAGGCTTCCTTCTACCGGCTGAGCACCTTACGTAGAGCAATCCAACGAAGGTCAGAACATTGATTTTCGTATTGCTGAACGGTGATGTTGACGTATCGAACAGATAGCTTGGGCGTACAGTTGCAACCAACACAGCCAGCACCCGTACTTAGAACCCACGTTATTGGCCAAGGCGCATCTGTTGATAATCTATAGTTTATGGGGTAACCCAACAGCGACTAAAGCCTATAGGTGCTAGTCCAGGGCTTGTTCACTGAGCCCTCAGTATATGTATTTGAGCCTGAACCTCGTTTCTCCCAGGTTCTTAAGTGCGGGCACTAGCTG